ATGGTCATAGGAAAGAAATGTTCTGGGCCATCCTTCAGTCCCGCTTTCTCAGCTGGGCAGTCCAGCCTCACCTGGGGGGCAAGTGGGATAAGCGAGCATCACCGGAGAGGCACGGGAATGTGGGATGGCAAGAAACCAAACTCGGTCCAGGAAGCGATCTGCAGCTCATAGCGGGTTTGGCTTCATGGAAACCAAAATCTAAATCTGTATAACGTTTGGTTTAAAAAAAACAAAACAAAACAAAACATATTTTTTTATTCCTATGCAATGAAAAACAATCCAATTAGTGTATTCTGAGCCCAGCTCGCCCTCCCCGCAGCGTTGCGCGCACTCGGAACGCTTCCGGCTGCTCTGCCTGCGGCTGAGCTTACCTGTGTCCTAACGAACAACCTTCAGACCTGCAACACTAAAGTGATGAAAACTGACAATGCAATTTACTTTGCCTTAATGAGCTTGAGACAATGGTAGGAACAATCTGTCACGCTGGATTACGCTGAAGGAAACGTGCAGTTTTCAGTGATGATGTTTACGATTTACAGCTTTGAGGGTCTCTCCAGTGGCCTGGAACATGTGCTGAAAGCCAAACCTTAACTTTTTTTTTTTTTACTTTTTTAAAACGATATTTTAAAACTGAATTGTATTGAAATAAACTGTATTTTAACACAGTGTTAAAAACCCTCTCAAAATAGCAAAAATCAACAGCAAAAAAAAAAAAAAAAGAATTTCTGTACCAGTTACATTTTGTTCCAATGCCCAAGGCTGGGCGTGTAGTCTCGTCTAATATTCATCACAGAGTCGAAACCGAACAAAAGGACTGTAAAACTGAACTTCTGTCCAGCAAACTGTGTCATTCCTTTCTTCAGAGCTTTCTTTGGGATTGTTTCCTTTTGTATAAAGTTAAGGCTGATGTTTCTTAAAGTGGCTTATGTGTACTTTTAGGTAACGTTTTTAAATGGTCTGGTTTTAGAATAAGTTCAAATTCAGAGGTTTTGAGTACCTTAAAGCAACACGAGTGTAACAGAGAAACGTCTGATGAGCCAGCAGCGATTGCAGAGCCTTCCCTACATCAGAGCGAGTTGCAGCTTCAGATCTGTTAGCGAACGCTGCCCACTTTGTACCAAGAACAACCAAAGCTGGTAAGTCCGGACAGAGCACTTTAGTTCCATAAAATAATCCTTCATCTGTTTTTAAAAGGCACAAATCCATCTTTCCCCCCCCAAAAAACCAAGGCAGCTTGTTTTAGAATAGTAATTCCAGCTTCACTGGCTGAACGAACCAGTTCTTAAAACCTATTTTTATACACACTGAAAGATGGAGACTTCAAAGAATGCTATTTATTCCTGTCTTTGTCCTAAAAGTATAAGAAGAATGAGTTCTCAAAATGGATTTCACTGTGGAAATGATTTTTATGTATAAGGCAGAAGGGAATCCCAAGTCATCTCCCTGCAGGGGCACAGAGAAGTTAGTGACGAGTCTTCCCTCCAGGAAGCGAGCGACGTGCGGTGCAGTTGCAGAAGTGTTTTCCATTTGGGAGCACTGGTGATGGAAATACTCGAAATAGGATGGAATTTCCAGCAAACTCCTCCTCGCACTGGCAGTCTGCAAATGAAGCATTAATAAACATGCCAGGATGCGAAACAGCAGGAGAGCGAAGAGGGAAGCGTCATTTTAGCAAGCGAGGTATTGATCAGAGAGTTCCACAACGCTTTTTCCTTAAAATAACATGTCACACTCCACTTTTTGTAAAACTTTTTTCTTTCCACGGTCATTAAATCTTGGCAAATTAAGCGCCAGACTTCCAAAAAGGTCTAAGGCTAGACCTTCACCATCACCCCCAATTCTGTTCCATGACATTGCTCGCTTGCAAGCTTCAGGGTGAAGGTACTCAAAAATGAAACGTCATCTGTGGTCATTTGGCAGAGCAAGACTCCTCCCCAAAATAAAAATCACCCGAAAGCCCTGCCAAGGGGTTAGCTGGCTGGCTGTTTATTGGAGGTCACGGACACTCAGAGCTGTGGATTTGGGGTAGTCTAGAACCTGTTAAATGAGATGGATGGGGGGCAAATCTGGATGGAAATCCATCTCACCGAGCGCTTGCAGGAGTCTAGGAAACTCTTGTGCTGGTTGAGGCCCTGGAAACCCTCCCTCCGCCCCTGCCCACCGTAATCAACCCTCGGAACTACCTGTTTGCTCTCTTAAATTTTTCTTACTGAAGCAAGAAACGTGTTGGTACTGAAGCAGAAAGCAAATCCTGTGTGTTTTCAAGTGCAGATTAACAGCTTCTCTTGGACATAACTTTCCGCTAGGAATGAAGGAAACTCCTGCTCCCATTTGAGCCATTTCTTTTACTTCGGTCAATTCTAGTATTACAAATTGTGCATGTTAACTTTATAAATATTTTAAATAGTTTTGTAAATATTTAATATTCAGCTAATTTGATTTTGAATTGTAAATGTCAAGTATTCTGGTATTGGGATTTTTATGTTTTATTATACTTTGTTAAAAGTAAAATTGTACATTTTTAGAATGTTTTTATCTGAGTAAATTTAATGTATGGAAAATAAAGAGTTAAACAGAATCCCTCTGTTTTTTTTTTTAATTTAAAGGGGCTTCATCTGTGTGAGGGCTTCTCCAACTTGGCAGTTACCAGGGTCTTTTTTTATTTTTTAGTTCTCTTTATTCCTTTTTGCTGTCTCTCCACCCAGACACCTGCTCACGAATCCTGGATCTCTGGCAGGGCCTCTCCTGGACTCGGCTCTCAGCCGAGCTGCTCTGAAAGGGTTTGCGCTCGCTCTTTGTCACCGAGAGCTGCCGTGCCGGGGCTCCAGCTGCCCACCCAGGCCCGCAGCTGGTTTCACAGGGCAGGACGAGCAGGGAAGCTGTGTGCCCTGTTCTGCAGCAGCCTCCGGACTCCACTCCGCCACCTCGCTTGCCCCTCGCGAGGGGACATCTGCAGTGATTGCAGAGGAAGCCACAGGCCGGGGTAAGCGAAAGGAATCAATCCCCAGCTCGCTGCAGCCTTACACCCTCTGTGCCCGGTGCCTGGGGTCCCTCCTGATCAGCAAAGTCCTGCTCATGAGAGCATCAGGATTCTGAGGCCGTGAGGGAGAGGTTGGTCGAGCAGGAACAAAACAGGAGATGGAAACCCACCCGTGTGCAGGACGCCCCAGGCCGTGCCCATGCAGAGAGCAGAGCTGTTTTACAGGGGTTACACCTGAAACTGCTCCTCCTGGAGGGTGGCAGCTCCCTCTCCGGGTTGTTCGTGGTCGGCAGTGTGGCAGGTTTCAGGACAGTGTCTAGTCGCTGTCAGCAGGATTTAACTTCATCGTGCACATCCCGAAGCAGGTGAACAGCCCTCTGTGCCCTTCCCTGCAGAGACGTGATTTAAGAGAGCGGTCCAGAAATAACCACACAAGCCGTAATGAAGTTGGGATGTAATCCATCCATATCAGCACTGTATTAATTTTAAAAAAGCAACATTTGTACAGGAATATCAGTCAATCACGTCGTAATTACAAGTATGGTTGTCAGTTATGAGTTAAACAATTTCTTACACGAACAAAACTAAACATAGAACAAGCTGCATTTAAAAGTTTTACCTTGGAGTAAAAACACAAAGAACAATAAAAAAAATCTGAAGTTAAGCGTCGTGAACGAGATGCATGCAAAGAGGCGTAGATGGTACAAACTGTACACCTTATGGAGCTAGAGTGCCAGGACGCAGTAGTATTGCTTCTTTTTCCCCCGTTAGAGTAAGTTAGCTTCCAGTAACAGATGGAGTTAGTTCACAGACACATAATATACAAGAGTAATCTCATCCTGCTATGCTTCACAACAACTCTAGAGGAAAAACACAGGTCCTACGGGATACCTTTCCTCCGCACAGGCTGCCTCCCTGCTCAGGACAGTAGTAACACCAAGATCTTCCAAACCCCGTGCAAGTGGCAGGAGACTTCAGTGATGATGGGAAAAAAAAAATCATTTGTTCGTCAACTCCCAACAGCAACTCCTGGCCGTGAGCTGCTTCTAAAAGTGGTTCTCCCTGACCCCCCCCCCTCGGTGGGAACATGCAAAACCAGCGGCAGACTGGCCAGGCAGTGTGGGATGGTAATTCCAGTGGCACGGCCGAGTCCAGCGTTCCGTACAGAGGGGTGAACAAAGCCGTTCGCCCGCTCACATCCGAGGGCCTGAATGCACCCACCCTGCCGAGGAGATGGGAATGGCGAGGACGGGCAGTGCTCCTGAGACCGCGAGCGATCGGGCATGGCTCATGTCTGACTGCACAAGCCTGCTCAGCACCGGCTGCACACATCCTGACCGCCCTGGGTGCTGGCAGCGGGCCCCTCGACCACCTCCTCCCAGCAGAGCCTCTGCCGGGCGAGGGAACGGCAAACCTCTGGGCCGGGGGGATGATCTTTTGGAAGCGAGCTCGTATGAACACCAGTGTTTCACTGAATACACAGGCGTTGGAAATTCATAACAGAGGGGAGTTTATTTCAGCGTTACCTGTCCAGGTGTGTCTTTTACAGTTAAACACTTCCTAAAACTACAGTAAAGCTGTGGTGTTTGGTATGAGTATTTCAGAAACTGGCACCATTCCTAAGTTTGTGGTGCCACAAAAAAACGGAGACAAAAAAGAGTTGTACTCCCCCAGCTCACCCCAAGCACTTGCCTTAGCTCACTGCAGCACTGACACGAGTCTCATCGAGCTGCAGAAGACAAAGCTCCACTTTGGAACATTAAAACATATTTGCTCTCATGAGAAGCTTTCCCATTTAGGAAAAAAAAAACAACACCAAAAACTTTAAGGAATCATAGGGAGATTTTCCAGAACACTGTCACACAAAACACGTCAGCTCCTCCCTGGTGCCTGTTTGCTTGTTCAAGTCAATCGAGTGTCCCTTTATTTGCAATTGTCACATGCACAACTGGGTTCCATTCATAAAAGTCCAGAAATGTAAATGTGCCTGTGTGGAATATTACAGCAGGTTTCAAAGCCAGAGGTGCTCGTCTGTACTGTTTAATAGTCACAAACAAGGCAAGGTAAGATGAGACACCTGCTAAAGCAAGACTATGCTAAGGTACTGAGAGCGTAGGTGACATCCGTTTCTTTCCCTGGGGTGTGTGTGGGGAAGAGTGGGGGTGATGGCCAAGGGTGAACCAAAATCCTAGGCTAGAAGCCGCTCGCAGGTCTTAGACAGAAGATTGCACTCCGAAAGTCTCCTGAGAGGCGTACACCATGTACAGGAACCCATCCTCGTCCTTCTCGCTCTCGTACACCTCGGATATGGGCGTGGAAACGCTCACCATGCTGTGTCCGTTCACCAGGAGGAAGAACGCCTGGTTGGAGTTCAGCTGCAGGCGTCGCCTGGGGGGGGAAGGTTGGGGGAGTGGAGGAGGGAAGGAGTGTCACAGTCAGGACTCTGCGTTCAATCAACAACGGCTTCAGGACATGTGGCAAAACAAAAGTTCTCCACCATGACAGCAGTAAGATGTCCCCACCCAAAGGAGCCCTGCCACTGGAGAAGGCACTTGTTTCCCACCTCAAGGTTGGATTAAATTTATCTACTAAGTCCCATCAAACACATCCACTGACAGCAGCCCCTCTTTACCTGGAAAAGCTACACTCCAGGCAGGCACTGAACTGAAGGGAAAAGGAAGAGGCACTCCCTGCCAGGATGGTCCCTGTACAAAACGCGCCAGGCCCGCGGGACCTTTGGCTCACAGCTTGGCTCCACAGCATCTCACTGGAAATGTAAACCCAGGCTGACCTCCAGATCTGTGCGACGACGGGGAGGGAGGACGGGCAGAGCTTCCACGCAAGGGCCCCGCACCTTTTACACTCACTTTCTCACCGGCTCTGTAACAGCCCGCGTTTAACCTTTGGAGCACCTTGCCCCCTCTTCTCCTCCCTGCCAGGAGAAGCACCGTGGGAAGGGCAGAGAGCGACTTCAGAGGCTGCGTGGCACACTGAACATCTAACTGTGGCATTTCCCTTGAATTGTTCACTCTGGTTGGAAGGGAAACAGGTATTTCTGCTCATCTGCCTACCGGAAAGCAGGTTTGCAGAGAGGAGCTCTCCTACTGCTTCATAAAGCAGGTAAGCAAGAGGTGCAACCAAAGACAGAAGGGAAGAACAACAGATCAGGAGAGCTTCCTGCTGCTCCCGCTCACTGCTGAGGGGTGGCAGCAGCTGGAAACAGGGATTTATTTAGCCTCCCGCAGCCCTGGAAAGGGACCCTTCTAAAGCCCAGCTCTAATCGCTCCAGGGGCCGCAGCTCTCCGAGGGGTGAAGGACTGGCTCTGCTGTGCGCAGGAGCTGGCTGGGGACCAAGTCCAGCTGGTACCAAGTCACCTATTAACAATGAAGCCAGAGAAAAAAGGTGGTAAAAATCCTTCAGCTTGCTGTTAACTTTTTTTGCCCAGGGCCTTTAATGTTCATGAGAAATGCTGGAAGACTTGATCAATCCGGTTCCTGCCTCCAAAACCCTACCTCACTTTCCTATTCAGGCAAGAGCTGGGATTTGCTTGCAACAGACAGTTTCTGTACAAGCCTCCGAGGCAGGGAATTGTCTGGACACGTGGGAAAACTCTCCGTTTTAACAGCTTGTGGCCATCACGAACCAGCTCCCTGCTACACCGTGACTAACAAAAAGCAAACTCTGGTTTGCTGATAATGTCCAAGTTTACCACTGGAGAACTTTTACTAATCAAATACTCCTTCTTGGCATAAAGCCAGGAGAAATGCACTTCTAGCAGAATTTCTGACCACAACTTCAGACCACACAACCTCCACCCCATGGCTATTTCCCCTTTGCCTTTTCTTATAAGCTAAGCTCAAGCACCAGAGCGGAACAGTACCCAAGCCACAGTCTGTGCAAACAGCTGGGACAAAAAGACAGCGGTCTGCATGTGTGTTTTTCAGGCCTCACCACTGTCATTGAGGGAAACCTCATTTCACGATCAAAGGAGGCCAACATCAACCCTAAGCAACAGCTCAGAGCACTGGCTACGAGCCCAAACTCCCCCTCCAGTGGGTGGGAAGAGGCAGGCACTCTGGAGAGGGACTCCCAAGCAGAACACGGAGAAGGCATCCTAAAATAGCCAAGCAGGAAGCGCTGAAGCCCTGGGCCAGGAGCACCCCGTTAGACAGGGATTCACGGCCCCTGACTCCCTCCTACATCTCTGGGAACCAGTCATTTCTCTTCTCATCAGGCTAACAGCTCAGCTCTTGCCAGAGGTTTTTTTCCAGCAAAGCCAGAGGAAGAGCACCTTCTCAGGAATTTGTCCTAGTGATGACACCAAGTGCTAATCAGATGAATTTTCCCTTTAAAGAATTCCCAAATGCATATGCCAGGTGGGGAATGAACAAAGAATCACAGTCTGAGGTTGATGCAGCTTATACTGAAATCACAGCATACTACCTGATGATTTTGATTAGCTCGCTCATGTTGACATGATCTGGCACCAGGAACTTGGTCTTATCCAAAACTGGAAGCTGCTTCTCTCCCTTGTATCTTTCAATGATCACCTGAAAAAAGAAACACAAAGAGAAAGGAGCAGCAGATGTGAAAGGCAGAAATGGGGTCTGGAGCTCTCATCTCCCCTCTCCATTTTACACACAGCAAAGCACAAGCATTTCTGCTAACCTCTGTTTCCCCTCGTTTGTGAGTGCAGTATCTGAAACTGAAAAGGAACAACTATATTTATCTTCACCTGCCCCTCCTGGCCTGTTTGCAAGAGTCACTGCACGAAGGGGTAACAAACAGGGTTTAACAGCAAACATCTGCAGCTTCAGTGCAGTTTCGGAACAGGTCATTTGCTGGAATCATTTCATCTAGCACTGAACTACCCAGCAACAAGGAAACCCAGGAAAAGATAACGCACAATTCCCACTAACACATTACAGTGGCTGACCGAGGGGCTTGGGCTGCTGCAGAAGTCTGCAAACTCAAGCAGTTTTCACTAGAATTTCTCCAGTTTTAGGCCATCTCTTTCCAAGAATTACACCTCCAGACTAGTCTGCTATTCCATTCACCTTCCATGGTTAGTCTAATGCATAAGAGAAAGCTACTTTTGAAGGGTATAAAGCCTCAGAGGAGAGAATTTCCTCCTCCTGTATCTCTAGACAGCATGCTTACAAACCAGTAATTCTGTCAAGATTGTTATGTTCCAACTACTTAGTTCAGGAGGAAATTGCAATTTGCCAACTGAAGTAGCACCCTGCCCAGCAACTGTATGTAGTTCCTGCTTTTAAGAAATGATCTCAGAATTCGTGCACTCCCATTTCCACAGCCACGTGGGGTTTGTTGTTTTTAAATCAACTGTAGCTATGTGACACCGTTCTCTTGGATCGTTTCCATGCTCACGGGGTCTGGCTGTGTTGATATTCAAAAGTTGCACAGGTGAAGAGATATTGAGCCAATTTAATTATATCAGAAAAAAACTTCCTTACACCAGTTTCAATAAATGCTGTCTCATTCTGGAAAAAAAAACCACTATTTTTAAAAAGGTAGAGTGTAACCAATAGATAATATTTCCAAAAGCAAAATGAAGGATGTTGACAGCACAGGAGGGATTTGCTATCTAGCGTGACATTGCCATCTTATCTCATCCAGAACTGCTAATGATAATAACGAGGCAGTGGACAAACAACCAGAAGCAAGCCTCCAGGGATCCCAGCAGGCCTCTGCCTTAGCTGTGAGTTTGCAGCGCTGCATCTTCAGCTTAGGTACCTCTCAATTTTTGCTAGTAATATGGCTTAAAATGAGAGCTTTGCTATAAACCAATGGCTTTCTATCCGCGGTCACAGAGCTTGGGGACTATGGCTGAGTGATCTGTGAAAGGTGGGTGAACAAGCAATCTTCTGGCAGGAAACAGATTTGTTAGGAAGGGGCCTTTTGGGAAAACTGCTCATTCCAGAAGAGTTAGAAAATCTCTGCTATAAAATATTACTTGTTCCCACACCCAGCCGATCAGTAAAACAGCAGCAGCAGCTCAAACTTTAAAGCTAAAGGGAAACTGAAAACCTTTCGGTTTCTGTTTGACATGGAGGCAACAACTGCTTCTGTTCCTGAAGCTGCACTGGAATTGCAGTTTGTTCACAGAAAAATTTCCACTCACAGGGATCACCAGCTCTCATCACTGAGAACCAAAGGCTGAGGGATTTGATTAAATTCTCTCTTCTGTCCCCCAAGATCTCCTGAGACTTTCCCTGTTCCCCCAAATGGCCATAAGGGCGGTGGCATTTATTGCTTATTGCGGTGACAGCCTCACACAACAATTGTGAGGAACCCATCAGCGACAGATCACCATCCATGCCTTTTGCTTCCTAGGATGCTTGGCTTTGCATTTGTAACCTTGAAGATGCCACAAATAAAAGAAAATAAGAATTCAGGCAGCATCTGGAGCTGACCAGTTAAAGACAAGTGACCAGGTGAGGGCTGATCCCTTCTTTGAGGTGGCCCAACACAAAGTGGAGGGGTTTGACAGACCAGCAGCAGTTCTGGAGACCTCAAGCAAAGGCCCATTTCCCAGAAGGCAGGCATTTCTGTCTTTCTCAGCACAGACTGGTGATGAAAGCCCTATCTGCTTTTACATTACTGTGTATTCTTCTTGGTTAGCCTGTGCAGACTCTTCTTTTGGAGAGGAAAAACACTGAGATGAGAAGAGCTGAACACTCAGGAGAATCTCAGAGCTCAGCCAGGGTGTGGTTTGCTATGAAGTTACATCACGCAGCTTCAATATACAGGAAACTCCATTTCCTCCAGTCCCCAGCTAGCACCTTGCTCTACCACACTGACTGCCGGTTACTCATTTGAAAATCTTTCTGAAATCCAGGCTTAACAACCCTGAACGGCCAAATTTTAATTTGGTCTCATCAGGACAGCTCTTCTACAGGTTTCTACCTTCTAAAAACAACATGAGACAGGAAACTGAAGTGAAAAAACGAAAAGAACCAGACTTACTGGTATTTTAGTTGGATGCTGATCTCGAATCAGTCGTACATCTTCCACTCTTTGCTCTGTAAAAGATTAAAAAAAAAAAACCTCAGTTCAAACATCCACACTTAATGCTGCTATTACTTTATTTCTCCACCACTGAAGAGAAGGACTGCAAAAGCAAATTTGGGCAAAGCATTTTTCAAACGGGACAGCACTGTCACAAGTAAAACCTCTCCTTTGACAGACGATACTTTGCTCTTTAACCCAAGGTGACAAGTACTGCACGCACGCTGCCTGGGACTCCTAGAAAGCGTTAAAGGAGATAGCTTCCTCCCTGCACACACCGCGTTTTCTGCCCACGACAGCAGATATTTAATCTCATAAATTTATGGCCTCAAATTACACCACCCCAGGTAACGACTAAATATCCTGGACTCTTTCTGTGAGATCCCAGAGGAGGAAGTTGTCAACAATTATTTGAGACCTAAGACTAGCCGAAGCCTGGCAGCATCAGCTTACGCCACGCGTTCTAGTATTACTGAATTACAGTTTTCTATTTTGATTATGCCGCACCCATTGTTGCAGAAGCTGTTGGTAGGGTCTTGTGTACCTAGACATTTCACTGCTCTCTGTGCCAGTTTTCGAGATAAAGTTCACCTCTCCTCAGCCATAAATATTAATAGCACAGATATTATAAGCCAGGCTAAAGTACAAGCCTGAGCCAAAGTAAACAGACACAGTTGCTTTTAGAGGCAGTTGCATCTGCTTATACCCTACCTACTTTCAGATTCAGTGAACTCAATTTTAACCTCTCCAGTTCTTCTCAACAGGCCGGGGCTTTCCAGGCCATCTCCATCTTATAAACACCTCATAGAGAGAAGATTTAGTGTTGCATCACAGCTTTAACAGACACCTGCCCAGGGAGAGGTGCTGCTCAGGGTAGAGGAAGAGCTTAGATCAGCACCCATCAGCCCGGCTCGCTGCTGGTATGCTAACGCACCAGACACACGACCTGCCCCGTCACTCAGCAATAACATCACTCAGCTCTCCATTAGTCCATATTTTGTGTGCATGAAATAACATCCATGCGCCTTTTTTACGAGCCCGGTAAGGAAATGCAACTCACGTGAATCACGGTTTTAAGCTGGAGGTGAATCAAGCAGAACTAACGCAAGGAGTATGCAAAGCTGACTTCACCTGACTGCAAGAGGGAGAACCTGAAAGCCATCCTGCTTCACATCCCACTGCCTAAGCCATGCTCCTACAGACTGGCATTAACACTTCAAGGGCAGAGACACCAGCTAATTAAAATACTTTTTAAGATCAACCAGAAACACAAAAGATATGGGGAGTGAATGAGACCAACCATCAGCCCAGCAAGCAAAGAGAGGTTTTGACTATCTTTCATCTTTTGTTCACGGCAATGTTATTCAGCAGAACTCCCTGGAGTAGAAGGAACAAAAAGTGGACAAATAATTGAGATTATTGTACACGGTGTCTTCAAAATCAGGCTTCAGTCAGCCACAGATAAACACTGTTCTCTGACGACATTAGTTGCAGTGGCAACTGCTTGGCTGCCATCCTGGCTGAACTTAATACCTGCAACAGAGGCTGCTGACAGGCGATGGGGTCAACAACAGGTTTGGAAGACTCCAAGAAAGAGGCAGCTTAAATGCAGACTTCGTTAGATCAAAATTCTCTCCGCTTCAGTGCAGAGAACAGCTTATGGTTAACAGAACAGCAGAGACAAGGGTGGGCACACCAGAAAGCTCTCTTAAGCAGCTTGACTTTAACCCAAAGGCAGAAGGAAAAGAAAATCTGGATCAATGAGTTCCACCAATTCCATTTTCTGTATGGGATTTTATAGTTCATGCAGAAATAGGTTATGCTGCCAGTTCTCGTTACCCTTGGAGCATTTCAGCCTACCTCACTGACACACGTGAACCAACAGTGAGCTCTCTGATTGCTTTGGTTCCATCCTAAGCACAAAAAGAAGCGTTGGCACAGCTCGAACAAGGCTGTTCCTTCCAAAAAGCGACTAATCTCATTTCCCCAGCCGTCATTACACAGCTCTTTTCGATGCCTTGCTAGTTTTCGGTAACTAAACAGAGACAGGAGGCATATACATCCCAGTCCGCTCCCAACTCCCCAAGCAGAGAATTCCTCCCACTGTGCCAAGCACCAAGCTGCAAGTGGAGCTTATTTCTCCTGTCAATAGCGCAGACAGAGCCGGACACTGAGCAGACACGGGAGGGAAGGGCAGGCCCTGCTCCTGGCACACGATACGAAGCGGTTTCCAGCCTCCTGGGAATTTTACGGTTGATAATGGACGATGGAAAGAGGCCATCTCCCCAGCCCAAGCCCCCCTCCTCGGTGCAGCTCTGCTACCCCCCTCCACAGCTCCCTCATCCCCCCGGACACCCAAACCCGACCCCGGGCCCGCCTTC